GTCTTAATAAAGTCTCATTTAACATGGAATGAATAGTAATATAAACTGAAAATTTTTGGGAAATCTATTTCATAAGATGATAATTGATTGACAAGAAATATATCTAGTAGTTATAGTCAAGTCCATGCGTGGTATACATCGATCTTCACTTTTTCTTTGAAATTGTAAACTTTCTAATACAAATGGTTAGACCATTAATTAATTCAAACTTATACATTCATATAATATACGGATGTTTCGAAGAAAACAATAAGCTTAACACACTTCAAAGTTCAACCCATCACGTCATATATATCTTAATTATTCCATAAGATTTTATTATTCTTAAGTTTTTGAGTTAATTTAATTTGGGAGTGAATACATTATGGAGTGAAAGCTATTCAAAAAGAGTAGCTAGCAATGGTCATAGTTTAGTTTCTCATAATAATCAAATTAATATATAAATTAAAAAAAAAAAAGGATAGAGATAAGTGAGAATGATGGGTAAGAAACAACAAAAACAGAAACCTTAAACACACACATTCTCCGTGAGCTGCTGATACGAATATAACACCAAAATTAAATGTCCATAACAACAATAGTATAATATAACAATCAATATCGCTATGCCATTGGCATTTAGTTATAAGTTAATGTGATATTAATAATACAGTATCTGTTAATTAAAAAATAACGTGTTACTAACATTTTGTAGCATTAACGAAGTAATGACAACCACATGGTGGTGGGCGAGTGGTTCTCGTTTGGTTGGAAGGATCGCCCTGTTGGTCTAGGCCAGGGATCGATCCTCCCCAGACGCAGTTTTGCTCTCTCACTCCTGTGGCCACCTGGGAATTTACCTGCGGACTTGCTCAGGCGCCCCAGACCACCAGTTTATCAGGGGGCCCTTAAGTGGAGGCTTAAAAATCCCTGCGACGCGGGCTTAGGCCCAGTGGGCTAGTCAGATCACTGTGTGGTCTGGATACTGGGTTATCAAAAAAAAAAAACGAAGTAATGACCTAATTGTGTTTATTAAAAAGTAATGACCTAATTGTGTTTACGCAACCGATCCTAAAAGATTAGAAAAAGTAAAACAGAAAGAAAAAAGGTGATTGTGACTCTTCAACACTCATGATGACTTTATGGACCTCTTACTACTAGTTTTAGTAGAGAAAGTAAAGAAATGAAAAATGGTTCAAGACTGTACGTATTTTTATACGTATTCCTGAGCGACCGACCTAAATAACTCTTTAAATATGGGGGGTGTTAGAAGACTCCATCTCTATCTATCTCATACTCGAAACGAAAGCTCTGAAACCTAACTCGTTTACGAAATTTTCTTTGATCCTAGTGACGAAATGTCTAAGCAATGCAAAGACTGTGGTACAACCTCCGATTTGTGGCTAAGCAGCTGCAAGCACATGACGTTGTGCCGCCCCTGTGGCAAATCGATGTGGGAGAAAAAGGAGAAGTGTCCCGACTGTGGAACCCTGGTGACCCGTTTGACTCAGGTAGGGTTTTCTCCTAATTTGTTTTCCCAACACGTTTTTGATTTTTGGCGCTGAAGGAGTTGTGTTTTGCAAATTAGGAAATTAGGATTGTTGCCCCCTCGTTGGCCGACGATGTTGATATGGGCGAAGGTAGTCATGATCCTCCTGCTTCACCTCCGGTTAGTTTCCAAATTTATATGGTTTTTAAAAAAAAGTTCCGACCTTAAGTATTTTCTGCTTCGATCCATTCTTTTAGCCTACCAACTTGAGTTTTTTCTTTCTAGTGAATGAATATGCTTGTTTTTTTGTTTGATAACCCATTGCCTTTTGTTAGAGACCGTAAATTTTATTTTTATATATTTGTCGGTTTGTTTAATTTTTTTAAAAAATAAAATAAAAAACAAACTTACTGCTTCCTTTATCTTGGCATTTTGATCACTAAAAACATCTCTTGAATTCTGTGAATTTTGACTTTGTTCTCTAGATATGATTGTTATCTTGTCTTGTCTTGTCTTATTTCCCCCTTCTGATCAATGTGGTTAATATTTTTGTCCCCTCCCTCCAAGTTCGAATACCCAAATAACCTTATCTAAATAAGTTCATTACATGATGATGCTACTGATCTTTGGTTATTACACGCAAATTAAAGTAGATACTGAAACTTATATATGTTTTGTAGCAGGATGAAGAAGATCATGGTGATGATAATTAAGGAGTTGAAGATAATGGAATTGAGTGGAAGAAGGTTGCGAGGCTGAGCTGACAGTACATATATATACACTATAAAATAAGACAGTACATATATAACTCCATATGAGGTTTACAGTTACAGACAGTACATATATCTCAATATGCTGCTATATATATTTAAAATAAGAGAGTCATCCAGAAACTCTCTATGTTGCTTTACTTTTCTCCTTAATTATTTAATTAGAGTACTTTTGGAAAACATTAAAAAGATTATGAAAATGATGTTATCATATATTATTATTGTTTTTACGATTATATAGTTGTGGTGTCAAAAAGCAAAAATCAATGAATCCACACTTTCCCACGTTTTTGAGTTATAAATTATACGCAATGTAACATAGAAATATATTTATAGGCTTTTTCTAATGGCTTTTCATTAATTTGTTTTTTTTTTTTTGCACCTCATAATTGCACCACAATTAAAATGGTCAATAATCTTACCTTGGTAAAATTTATTAGTCCATGTATTAATCAATATCTTTCACGAAGTCGCATTTGATGACGCCCCTGCAGCTTCGTTGGAATCATAGGTTTGTGTGTAATTCAAACTTTTCCCTCACTGTCTATAAATGATTTGAGATCGAAAGACTACTACAGTGACATGATTAATTACAAGATAATATATATGAACTCAAGAAGAAAAACAAAACATAATTATGACCATATTATCCTAAAGTTTTATAACCAAGACCTAGAGTAATTCGTCTGATGTGTCAGTGTGGCCTCTGTCTGATTTCGGATTTATGTTGAGAGATTGAAAATAAATGAGATTGAGAATTTGAGATGAGAAGTGGAAGCAATTCTTAACTTATTCTATAAAGTACATAGAATAGTGTAAAGTACATATTAAATCGTGTTTACATCAATCACAAACGTGTGACCAAAACAGCAATACTAGTCAACAAAGATTTTTTTTTTTTTAAAAAAAGGTGATTGTGATTATCAAGATTCATGAACCTTTTTATTTTTCTTTTTAAAGTAAATGAAATAGTTAGCATTGTTATATAGTTTAGAAGAAAGTAATGAGAGTAGAAAATCTGTCAATGAGTGCTAATATATATATATATATTTTGATGGTTTGAATAGAACGTAGTAATATATATTCAGAACATTTCTCGCAACGTTCCTTGGTTGGTGTGGTGAATATAAAACACAATCCAAAAAAAAAAACATGAGAGCGAGGCGATTTTTGAGGCGATTACACCTGTTCCTTTACTCGCGTCTCTTTTTCTCTTCAGTGAGCGGTTGTCGCCGGTTAGCGGCGGTTTCTTCAGGGGATGATAACTGCAATTCGGTTGTAACTTCCACAACTGATCTCCTTGCAAACCTATTTATACCCTGCGCATGTCTCTGGGAAATTTGGGTTGATCAGAGTGAAAACAATTCCTTTCCTTTGTTCATATTGATCATGGCGGATAACATCCGGAGACAATTGCAAGAAATTGCATTGGGAATTGAAGATGCAACAATCAATCTCCCTGCGGATTTGTGTGAAGAGGCGATTAATGAGACCCGGTTCAGCCTGATTGTGAAACCGGTTAATCCAAGAAAACAAAACCTGCGAGCAATGCTCAATGCCCTGCCGCGACTTTGGGGGGTTATCGAAGAAGTAACAAGCCGGATTCTGGAGAATAGGAAAATTCAATTCCTATTTCAGTCTGAAGAATCAATGTCCTCCATCATGCGATGAGGGCCTTGGTCATTTAATGATTGGATGTGTGTTCTTCGACAATGGAATCCAAACCAGACGGATGATGATCTGAAGCAGATACCCTTCTGGGTACAAATTAGGGGAATCCCACTCCGTTTCCTGACGCAACGAATGATCACCTTCATCGGAGAACAACTTTGGTGGAGAGACATGTGTGCTTAAGTTTCGATACGAGAAACTCCGGAACTTTTGCTCCAAGTGCGGACTGCTAACTCATGATGCGTCTGAATGCCCTGAAGGAAGCAACGCTCCTCCCCCTCCACCGGAAGATGAGGATGATGATGACCTGGATTTAGGCCCAGACGGCCCCGATGGAAATTGGCCACATGAGACAGAGGAACTCCTGAACAGAACTGCTGCAACACAAGAGAAAGACGGTGAAAATCCGACTGCTTCAAAGAAGAGAAAGACAGAGTCATCTACAGAAACAGAGCACTACCCTTCTGTTCCATTGATCTGCTGTGAAATGAGGCAAGCATATGCTACTGATGACACTCAACAATGCTATGCAAAAAGGAACATCAAGCAATCTGAGGTGCTAGAGATACGCAACTGGTTCTTGGGCAATGCGAGTACAACAGAGCAGGGGATAAGCAACAATGGGAGACCTCCACGATCTACCCCAAACACCAACTGTGAAGGTACGGTGGGCCATAAGCCACCGGAGCTGCGATGAATACATCCTTTTGGAACTGCCGGGGCTTGAAAGGGTCCCTGGTAGTTCGACGCCTCAAGGGAATCAAGGCAACTTATTCCCCGGACTTACTCTTTCTGATCGAAACGAAGAATCCCGATGATGTCGTCCGAGATGTAGCAGCCCAATAGGATTATGATTATGTTAAATGTGTTTCTCCTTTTAGGGTTGGTGGTGGGTTAGCCTTAATGTGGAAAAAGACTATTTCAGTTTCGTTTTATGATGTTGATGAAAGAATCATCGATTGTAAGATAAGTAATAAAGATGTTTCTTTTTACTTCTCTTGTGTTTATGGGCATCCAAATCGCAAAAACAGACATGTTCTTTGGGAACGTCTTCAAAGAATCTCATTAAACAGAATTGGCCCTTGGTTATTATGCGGAGACTTTAATGAGATTCTCAATCCCAATGAAACAAGAGGTGGTCGTAGAAGAGAGAATTGGTCTCTGACAGACTTTAGAAACATGGTAAAATGTTGTAAGATAACTGATCTTCCCTATCAAGGTAGCAACATGACTTGGGCTGGGAAAAGGAGATCTTATACAGTGGAAAGTTGGTTGGATAGAGCAATGGCAAATGACCAATGGAAAGCTAACTTTCCAGCATCTGAAGTCATTTACTTAGAAATGATAGAATCAGACCATCGTCTAGCCATCATCAAAATCCGGCGAACAACTGAACAAGGTCTCCGACCCTTCATGTTTGACACTAGATTGTGCTCAAATCCAGATGTTGAAGATGTTATTAAAGTGAGTTGGAATGATAGTTTCGTACACCATAAACTTTCGTACACCATAAACTACCGAATCTTTATTTAGATGATCAAGAAATGGGCGGAGGAGAAAGTTTCATCGACTTTGTGGACAGAGTATTGGCTGTGACTGGCAATTTCCCCATAAGGAATTTCTCTATAAAATGTCGTATGAGTATCGACACGGGTCATGTCACCCGCTGGATGATTGACGTGCTGAAACACGGTGTCTCAAATCTTGATATTGACATAATCGCTCAAGATGTCGTTTTAGTTCCTCTCGAGATCTTCACTTGCAAGACATTGGTTGAGCTTAAACTAGCAGAAGGATTTGATGCTATGATTCCTGATCATGTTTCTCTTCCATCACTTAAGACTCTCTTTCTTGATTCGATTTGGTTCTATAATAGTCATTATTGTGTTTTGGGAAAGCTTCTTTCTGCTTGCCCTGTGCTTGAGGAATTGACCATTTGTGGTGATAGTTGGCAAAATCCAAAATGCTGTCGCAATGTGTCCTCTTTGACCCTTAAGAAACTTACTATTATGTGTACTGAACGTACTGGATTTTTGGGACATGACTTTTGATACTCCGAGTCTTGCCTACTTAGAATACTCTGATATAGTTCCAAGACACTATCCGTTTGTGAATCTTGAGTCCCTTGTCGAAGCTAAGCTCGATCTTTATGTACACGATGTCAGCAATCCAACAAATCTTATTAAGGGGTTAAGAAATGTTGAGGTCTTGGAATTATCATCTCATTATACCAATGAGGTAAAGACTGATCTCCCCTCTTTTTCTTTCTCTGTAAGATATATATTATTGCATGCAAGTTAAGATCATCGAAGACGAATTTTAGGAACCATGTCTCGAGGTTTTTGGATCCAAATATTGCAATTGTTTGATGACTAGTGACTTGTTTATTTTTGTTCTGTTCCAGACATTCTATGCTTTCCGTGAAGCAATCCCAGTCTTGAGCAAGCTGTTTCGTTTATCTATTACAACTGATTCACGCCACTACCATTGGAAACTTCTGCCAATACTTCTAGAAAAATCTCCAAATCTAGAGACTCTCGTCATCAAGGTATAACCAAAACCCCGAAAATGTATTGGACAAACTCAAATCTCTAATCTTCCCTCTTGTTTCAGGGTCCACTGTACACTGATAGATATGTACGAGAATATGGATTGTCATGTCCTGTTAAAGTATTGAAGATAACTGAGTATGAAGGAACATTTGAAGAGCTAGAGCAAATGAAACATTTCTTAGAAAAATTGCCATGTCTTGAGCTTGTCAAAGTTCGTGCTTCTGCAATAAACGACAAGGAAAAGTCTCGAATCACCAAATATCTGCTATTGGTTCCTAGATCGTCCAATTGCGATATCCAGATCAAGTTTCTGTGAGTAAACTACTAAGTAATGCATGAAAAAACAAATTTAGTTTGATTGTATACATTCTACACTAATAAACATACATATTTGATTTCGTACATGTTTGTATATCTATAGATGAACCAAAAATAGTTGTCATATCTCCAGATTTGTAACTAAACAACTAAGGAGGAGAGAGACATATCATCGCCACAGTGAAAAATCTTCTCTACCGTTCTTCATCATATCTTGGAGAGAAACACCATGCCAAAACGATTCATATATTACATATAACCCAACTTTTTGTTCATGGTATATTCACTGTCACAAAACCAAAAGACAAACAATTCAAAGGTTAAAAAATAGCCAAAAGAAGATCCTTCTGGAAACAAGAGAAACCGGTTTAAGCCAATATACCGATTGTTTTATTGAGCAACCATAGTAGAAGAGCGAGTTCAATCCCGAAAATCGTATGCAACCATGACCTATCTACAAGGAATCCATACACAGTGATCCCAGCTTTGTTGTTCTCTAAATACGTCACTGCAAAAAAAGATCAACAACCCGATAAATTCGACTTTTGTGGTCTATATCAAATTATCAATGGAGACATTCTTACCTAGAGCTTGACGTTTTTGGTAAGAAATTGTATTGGCGTAAATAGGATGTATCTTGGTATTATCAAGATCATCATCTCCTTCTCCTTCTTCATCATCAGACGTATCCATTGCATTGCCACATGGGGAAACTTGAGATTCAATCATCGAACCAGTAGGAGTTTCGCCATCAAGATGATCGAACGAGTCAACTGTAGCGCAAACGTTCCATTTAGCAGCAAGGCTGGTTACAGATTGAGCTTTGTGAGTTATCTTCGTTGCACTTCTTAAACATATGAATACTCCTGTAACCAAACTCAACGAACATAACTGTATAGACCAAAACAAAAGACATTTATTAGTGATGATGGGAATAAACCGAACAAGAAACAGAACCCGGTAAGAACTCTTACCGCGAGCTCGCCAACTTCATAGATATTAACAGCAACACTAGCTCTCGTAGTAGTAAGCAAAGCCATGAACTGAGTAGCAGTAACAAGAATCAAAGACAAAAGAATAAATCTCCTGAATCGATGACTAACAATCCTCAAATTACGACGAATCTTTTGATGCTCGCCGAGAGCTGACCTAACATCAGTGATCTCAGAGGCGAAGCAGCGAGCGAAATCATCGAGACGAAGAGTTTGAAGATGACATGTGATTTTGTATAGAATGCAGACGATGATGAAAAGGGAGTTACGGTAAAGCCAAGAAGAGAGCTGGAGAGTGCAAGCGACGACGTGGCTAAGAACAGGATTGATGATGTAAGGAATCTCGTTAGAGCCAGAGATGTACCACCAGATTCTGTAGATTGCTTCGAGTGTTAGTGATGGGAGGACGAAGATCAGTAGCCGTTTTAGTGATCTCTGTATCAATCAAGAAACAGAGCAAAAGGTTTATTAATTATTAGGTAACTTATAGCATAAGAAAACAATATCCGACCTTAGCTCAGTTGGTAGAGCGGAAGACTGTAGTCTTTGACAGATAATCTTTAGGTCGCTGGTTCGATTCCGGCAGGTCGGATTTTTTTTATTTAATTTACAATACAAAGAGACGTCACACTTTAACCAAAAAGACAAAACATTGTCGGCCAGAAATAAAAAATTGTAAACTTTTGAGTGACGTATTTTTCTGTTCACTGAACTTTTTCTCAGATACTTATTGATTATTTCAAAGAAACAAGAAAAACAAAACATTGCTAATGACAGTATTGAAGATAAAATTAGTAATAGTTGTAAAGCTTTAAAACTTTAAAAAATACGAATTTCTTTTTCCTCTTACTGAAAATAAAATTAGTAAATGATTATTGTTGCGTTTACTAAAATTCTGGAATAAAAAATAAGACTAAGAAATTAAATAACTAATATAAGTCAGTTTCTGGCTACCATAAGGTCCATAACATCGTATATAGTTTGGTAAAGGTAACTGGGTTTTGTAATAATTTAGGTTTACGATATCTTTAATTTCGAATTAAAGGTACGATTATGATGAGTTTAAAGATAATAAATTTAAAATTAGCAGAGGCCTAACCTGAATTTCAGCTTCGTATTCGATTCTAACTTTGTCGCTAGCATCCCAAAGCTTATCAAGAAACAAAAACCGTCGCATCCCAAACTTCCTCGACCAAATCGAGAGGCTAACGAACGAAATTCCGCCGAAAATCGATAACGAAAGCTGTACCACGGCGTCGTACGGTCGTCGGTGATGGAAATCGCAGTCGGAGCATACGAGCAAGAAGTGAGAGATCATTGGAACGATGACGACGAGAAGGAAGAACACAGACCACGAAAGAAGAGCCGTGCCGCGATTTGACTGATCGAACCAGAGCACGAGGGACATGAACGTGAACCGTGATGCTGGAAACTCCGGTTGTTTGTTGATCGCGCTTGGTCTGGTCGTCTCCGGGAGTAGATGCTCCGATGATGCGTTCGTCGCCATGAGAGGGGTAATTTCGGGATTAGGGAATATTGATAGATTCAAAGAGGGAAAAAGGCAAAAATAAAGTCGCGTTGATTGGTTTTGTAAGCTAAACCTGTAATCTGTTTAAATACCAAAGTTTGTGAGATTTATATGTTTAATTTAAAACATACACGTATTAACATAGGACTCTCCGACTTTATATAAATTTTATTTTATTATTAGTTTTCAGATATTATGTGGTTTCATCTTTTTTGGCTGATATATAGGTGGAAAGTGTTTCTTTTTTCGGTTTAATATCTAAAATAATAATTAAAAAGGGTGTAGTAGAGTGGAGTGTCATGGTCAAAAAAACTCAAAATGGTTTAACAAAATACAATGAGGTAATGACTGATTTATTAGGTGTTTACTGTTTTTGGAATTTGTCTCTATATGAGTTTCCAGCTGAATTTGTAATAATAAACAAATCAGATCAACAGAAAAGACAGATGATGATACATTAGTTCCAAAATTTTATTAGTATTTTGATTTATTTTTAAAAATAAATCAAAATTGAGCTGAATTTTGGAACATATTTTAAACAAATTGAGCTATAAGCAAAACATATTTTTCTGAGATGAATTAGCTAAATAATTCTCAAAAAAAATTGAGCTGAATTATTAATTTACCAAAATTTTATTAGTATTTTGATTTATTTTTAAAATATGTTAAATAATTCAATTTGTTCAGCTCAATTCAGTTCCAAATTTAGCTAAATAATTCTCAAAAAAAAAAATCACATTTACCAAAACATATTTTTCTGACACTAGACACGTCATTGAATTCACGAGATACAGTACTGTAGTTAGAAATAGTAGTTACTTTCACGGGCTAGAAAATCAGTTCATAGTTTTGATTTTGATAGTATTTCATAAAAGATGGCGTGATGTGTCCCATATTCAGGGCCCTTTAACACATAAGCTATTATTCTAAGCCCAATAACTTAACCCGGGTCGAATCATTTGACTTAATCGGATCCTAATTTTGGTAAGAAATTTCTCCGGCCGTGATTTGTTGGACGCGTCGACGTCGATGGGGATGAGAAGTAGTGGAGAATCCGCTCACATTGGGATTCGTCATTCTTCGTCTAAAACCAACAAAATATCTCCATTTATACGAAAAATCTCTAAGCTTTACTTTTATTTCCTGTGAAATTTCTGCTCAAATCTTGGGTTCCTGACGGCGATGGCGGCGATTTCAGGCATCTCCTCTGGTACGTTGACGATTTCACGGCCTTTGGCTACTCTTCGACGCTCTAGAGCCGCCGTTTCGTACAGCTCCTCTCACCGATTGTTCCGTCATCGTCCGCTCACTTCTCGTCGCCTGCTATTTAGGTGTGCCTAGCTAAAATTCAATCGAATTTGGTCACGCGTGATTATTGAAAGGGTTTTAATTTATGTCTCTAATGGGTAGTTTTGTTTCCTCTCTTTCTAGTTTCTTACTTAGTGATGTAATTGGAACTTTATTGAAAAAAAATTCAGGAACTTTGATCGAGTACAAGCAACGATTTTGCAAGATGATGAAGAGAAAGTTGTGGTGGAGGAATCATTTAAAGCTGAGACTTTTACTGGTAAAGAACCACTTGAGGAGCCAGATATGAGTTCTTCTTCAAGTAGTGCTTTTGAGTCATGGATCATCAAGCTTGAGCAAGGAGTGAATGTCTTCCTCACAGTAAGGTTTTTATGACCCTTTTTTATCTTTTAAACGTGATTGGCTTACTAGAAATCTTTAATGTTTGATTGTGTTCACATTTTACCAGAAATTTTATCCTGTGTTCTGATTATTGTCTTGTTTTCGTTTCCCCACTCAGGATTCGGTGATAAAGATACTTGACACATTGTATCGTGACCGAACCTATGCAAGGTTCTTTGTTCTTGAGACAATTGCTAGAGTACCTTATTTTGGTAAGTGTATTATTTGTAGTTTCATTTCAGTTCCTTATAATATGTGCAAGTATCATTTAGCAGACTACTAAGAGCTAGTCATCAGGTTTTGTAAGAGTCTAAGACAGTAAGATTGTGAATGTCACTTGAGATATGTGCAGAAGAACATTGACAGAATAGTGTTCAAGGAATATATATATATATATATATATATATATATGTTCTCTTCCTTATCTCATTAGAAGTATAGTTGTAACTCTTAACAACAATAGCCGATCCAACCATAATCCTCTTTGTGGAGAATCAAATATTGTTTTTTCGTGTTTATCAATATTTATGGATCTGGGCGCCATTTGTAAACTGTTTATTGGCTAGAACTTAACGTTTGTTTCTGTATTATCCTTGCAGCCTTTATGTCTGTGCTACATATGTATGAGACCTTTGGTTGGTGGAGGAGAGCAGATTATTTGAAAGTACATTTTGCTGAGAGCTGGAATGAGATGCATCACTTGCTCATAATGGAGGTAAGAACCAAAATGTTCCCTTCTCTACAAGTTTCATACTCTTTACTCTCATAGTTGGTAACAGTAAAACACATGTTTCTGATCACAGGAATTGGGTGGAAATTCTTGGTGGTTTGATCGTTTTCTGGCCCAGCACATAGCAACATTCTATTACTTCATGACAGTGTTCTTGTATATCGTAAGCCCTAGAATGGCATGTAAGTTTCCTTTACGTGTAACTTCTAAAAAGTAGCAGAATCAATTGTTTCTGGTCTACATGACTTCATTAACCGTATGTCACCTATGCAGATCACTTTTCGGAATGTGTGGAGAGTCATGCATTTGAGACTTATGATAAATTTCTCAAGGCCAGTGGAGGTTGGTTTCTTCTTCTTTCTCCAGCATTCCTTCCCAGTACCATTCACGTTAGCAATTTAGTTGTGAATGGATTTAGTATGTTGAAATATAAGACAATATTCTTCAATGGTTTTTACATTCTGAATTGTTTTGGTTCTTTTATTTTCTAAACAGAGGAGTTGAAGAATATGCCTGCACCCGATATCGCAGTAAAATACTATACCGGAAGTGACTTGTACTTATTTGGTGAGCTTATCCATCTGGATTTTGTCACTCTTCTACAGAGTTGTAGAGTTTTTATTCCTTTGATTAGTAACTGGCCCATGTGTTGTCTGCAGATGAGTTCCAAACATCCAGAGCTCCCAATACTCGAAGACCAGTAATAGGTAGCAAATTTACCTTAGTTTTTTCAATCTCTTATCCGTCAAACCAACAAATTGCTAAAAAGGTTCATGATTATCATGGTTGTGAGTCTACATTCTAGAAAAGAACTAAGCTTTGGTCTGATATATGTATGGATGGAGCATTATTCTCAGTTTGTGACTTACTTTGGTGTTAAATTAAGAATCTATAACGTTGTTGTTGTTGATGTTGTTTTGTGGTTATGGTTGAGCAGAGAATCTATACGATGTGTTTGTGAACATAAGAGACGATGAAGCAGAACACTGCAAGACAATGAGAGCTTGTCAGACTCTGGGCAGTCTACGTTCTCCACATTCCATTTTAGAAGATGGTGATGCAGAAGAAGAATCAGGGTGTGTTGTTCCTGAGGCGGCTCATTGTGAAGGTATTGTAGACTGCATCAAGAAATCCATTACAAGTTAAAATTAATAAATTAGAAAGTAAACTAAAAAGATTAATTCTATCAGCTCATGAAGAATAGATATAAATCCCATATACTTGGGAACAAAGGAATAATGTGAAATTCCCATCGTTATGTATTGTGTGGGAGAGAATCAAATACCCTTATGATGTAAATTTACATTGATGAGTTTAATATTATTATCATCTAAGTCGTTGGAGACCATTTTTATGCACACTAGCCATTGTTACATTTGTTTTCAGTGAAATGGTAAACAATGGGCATAAGAGCTATAATTTGACAAGAGATTATTATGAGAAATAGGAAGAGCTTATTGTAAATGCTAAGTACAAAATCATTGAATGTATCATTCTCTGAAAAAGCTTATTGGTATTAGAGTTTAGAATCTCTAATATCCCACTTTTATTTTTATTGATTTTGTTGGGGAGAGTGTGGCGCAAAGACGACGTCGTCTAACATGTCACGTGGGAAAAGCCTTGATTTATGCACCCTCTTTAATTTCCTTTTCTTTTTTTTCTTTTCCTTGGCTTTCAGTTTTCAAATTATTTTTCGGCGGGTTTATTAACAAAAATATTCTCCCGCCAGAAAGGTTATACCGTGATTTTTTAAACCATGTTCCGGTATGACTTATGAGATTTCATCAGTCTGGTAAAATTCGCATTAATTAAATTTTATTTTGATCATCGCTTTTGTTTCAGAGTTAGCGTCATATTAGTAGCATATCTTTATTCGATGGATGATTATTTAATCTTTAATTGGCGTTGAACTCCTAGGGATGATCATTTTTCGTTGGTAATATAAAATGTAGTTATTCTTTCGAATTTTGTTTCTTCTATCTTTTTATTTTATTTGAAAATTAATAAGTCGTACAGTTACAGAAACGTCATTAACTTTTTCCTCTTGAGTAATTTTATTTTTCCCTGTTTCTATCAGAAATTCAGAAGAACTAACATTATAGTTGCACACCATGCACCCATTGCGTACACAGTACGACTTTGCTTAGTAAATTACACATAATTATAAATTTATTAACCTTTTAAACAATGATATACATAACTTTTTAACAATTCGTTTTAAAAGAATGAAAGTTATATACTCAAGTATATGATCATTGAAAAAATATCTTACAAATATTTTTATTGTAAGTAAGACTGGACCAACCGAATAGAATCGTTTTAACTGTTGAAATTACTAAAAGTGTTTAAAATAATATTAACTCGCGGGAAATTAATATTCGGAAACAACTTTTACAAAAATAAAATAAAGAAATGTGAAAGAAAAAAAAAAACTCTGAAAACTTCCTTTATAATGTCATCATCACTGCGAGACCCAAAGAAACAGTTTCTCTCTATGTTTCTCTCTCTCACATGGCGGAGCTAATCTCTCTATTTCACTAGTGATTCTGTTTCACTATCGGAGAATTTCTTTTAAGAGTTTCCGTCACCGAGTCGATGATGAGTGAACTCGAGCTCGGAACGAGTCAGAGGATGGCGGAGACACACCGTACGACGACGACGTTTCTTGATTTACTCCGACGACAGATGAGCGGTCACGATCTCACCAGAAGGAAACGGACTTTAAAAGAACGGTTGAAATTCAAATGCATCGGATGCTGTGGTCCAACCTGGAGTCTCCGTCTAACTAACAACGCCACCACTCTTCACAGTCCAAGCTCAAGAGACGACGAAATCGATGAATAAAATTGAAACCGGACTCGTTCTCGAATCGGATCATGGATCGGGTACGGGTATGAATCTCGCGACTGCGTTAGAGGCGGAGAGGTATAACAGAGGAGAATCGACGGAGGCGGAGGTAGATATGACGCCGAGGAGAGTATCGTTGATGAGATTGTTGGAAGAGACGGCGGAGAGAATCGTTGATGAAGACGGAAAAGAAACGGAGATTTTGACGGCGTCAATGGGGACGTTAACGGGTAATGATTCGGTGTGTTGCGTGTGTATGGGAAGAAAGAAAGGAGCCGCGTTTATTCCATGTGGTCATACTTTTTGCAGAGTGTGCTCTAGAGAATTGTGGCTGAACCGTGGATCGTGTCCTCTTTGTAACCGTCCGATCATTGAGATACTCGATATCTTTTGAAAACGATCGGACGGCTAAAAGTTCTCGATCCACGTGAGTAAGTGAGGTGATCCCTAGATACGTTCCAAATTTTAACTACGGTTTGTGTACTTTGTACGTTTCTTTTGGTTAATGGAAGATGATGTAAATGCAAAAGAAATACATGAGGTTTTTTTTCTACAAGGCCCATTTAATCCTTTTTAAGCCCACTAAATGTATGTTTTGTAATCTGTATATTCCTCCCAATAGCCCATTGATAAAGGAGGATGATCAGAAACAGCCAGTAAGTAATAATAGTACACTGCGGAAGCTTCTAGCCTTTTTACATTGATCATGACTTTTGCATGGCGCTTATTTTGCAGAGATAATAAAGAAGCAAACGATGGCAAAAAAAAATAAAAAATAAAGAAGCAAATTTCCTCACAATTTTTTTATGATGAGATAGCAGATAAATGAATATTTTAAGTCCAATAATTCATACACAAGCATAGATTTATCGTCTATCTATAACTGTTTATTTCTTCTGTTGACACAACCAAATGTTTTAATTTTCTAGAAATGTTTAAATAATCCTTTATACTAATTTTTAATTAGTAAGAAAAAAAATTAATTAAATTTTGGATTATCTTCTAGCCAAAAGACAAGAACCAAAACAATGCTCGCCTCACACCATCTGACGACGCGACGCTTAGAATGTCAGTTCTCAGCCGTTGATCTTAAGCCGTCACGTGGCAGAGTCGTAGGCGAATGTATATGATATTCAAAAAGTCGATACTGTCCTTCTTAATCTGGTCTGAGTAGTTGATGAAAGCAAGACATATACGTAATTTACCATTTCCATTAAGATGTCTATAAATTAGTACAAGTCTTTTCTTGTTCACTAGCTTCGAAATTTTTGAGTCGAAGAAAAAAAATGGCGACGGTACAATTGTTCACCCAATTTCCCTGCAAAACCAGAGTTTCAATCCCACCGAACTCTAAATCTATCTCCAAGCCTCCGATTCTGGTACCGATGAGCTCAATTATTCACCGTCCGGTGTTCTCCACCAGAGGAATCGCTGTTTCCCGTGCGGATTTCAGAGTCCGAGCCACAGATGCGCCGGGGGAGAGAGGATCAGCTCTATTGGCGGCGGAGGAAGCAATCGAAGCTGTGGAGGAGACGGAGCGGCTAAAGAGATCGCTTGCGGATTCGTTGTACGGAACAGATCGAGGATTGAGCGCATCGAGCGAGACCAGAGCTGAAATCGGAGATCTAATCACACAGCTCGAGTCTAAGAACCCTACTCCAGCTCCGACGGAAGCTCTCTTCCTTCTCAACGGCAAATGGATCCTCGCGTAAGTTTTTTTCCGGTGAAAACTTTCTCTTGTAGATAGTTTGTTAGTTTTCCGGAGTAATTTTGGATTCTGGATTCAAATTTTTGCTATGAACGATGAACTTCTTACCATTGATTTGGTTGAGTCGCTTTTGCAGCTACACATCGTTCGTGAATTTGTTCCCGTTGCTTTCACGAGGAATCGTGCCGTTAGTAAAAGTAGATGAGATCTCACAAACCATTGATTCTGATAACTTCACAGTCCAGAACTCTGTTCGTTTTGCTGGTCCTTTAGGTACAAACTCGATTAGCACCAACGCTAAGTTCGAAATCCGAAGTCCTAAACGCGTCCAGGTAATTGATGAACCATTCATCAAACCAAGAGCTGATATCAACATCTTGAAACGATTGAGTAATGTTTTGGATTTCAGTTTTGTTGCAGATTAAGTTTGAGCAAGGCGTAATTGGGACGCCTCAGTTAACGGATTCGATTGAAATACCGGAATATGTAGAGGTTCTTGGTCAAAAGATTGATCTTAACCCGATCAGAGGGTTACTTACCTCGGTGCAAGACACAGCCTCGTCTGTGGCTAGAACCATATCAAGCCAACCACCGTTGAAATTCTCTTTGCCAGGGGACAATGCGCAGTCGTGGCTACTCACGACTTATTTAGACAAAGACATTCGGATCTCTAGAGGAGACGGTGGAAGCGTCTTTGTGCTTATCAAAGAAGGAAGCCCTCTCTTGAATCCTTGAACTTCGTCAAAATCTATATCTCTCTCTCTTGTTGTTGTGTTAAGTAAGACAAATATAGTGTTGTTGTAGGTTTACTTCTTAATCGTTATTATTAACTCGATGATAAGGAAATATAATGTTTTTAACTGCTACATAACATCTTGGGCTATGGCCTATATATAGGCCTAAGAAATGTTTCTCAGATTTTCCCAAATACAAGTGTTTTATAATCTCATTCTCTTCTGTTTGATTTAGAAAGTAAACTATGTACCCATGCAAGTGTTGCTTGAGAATTATCCCTGCAATGTCGGGTCTTATAGAATCGAGATGATGACTCTCATCTTGTTGTCGAATTGGTTCATTCTGTGATTGTTCATATAATAGTCACTGTACTTGATGACTATCATTATGTTTTGAGGGACTCAGTGACTCAGTCTGAGTCACTGGACATGGCTTGGATACTGGTTAGTATAGTACTTCAGGTTTCTAGCATATGCCAACGCAAATTCCCATGTTTTCTTTATCTGAAAAAAACTGAACACTGTGATTCATGTCATATAAAGACTTCGGAATTCCAGTTGATTGGTTATCTGATGATACTGTCGTAGTGGGGAATGTAAAACATTTGTTCTTTGTTTTCTGTAAAACAATCTTAAAAATGCTCTGTTTGGGTTTTGTTCATTTTCATCATCACAACACAGATCAAGCTTTCCTCAATCCAGCTCGCGAAGAAATACGTGAAACTGAGTAGCTTATGAGCTTGATTCAGTTAGTGGATCTGATAAAGATCCTAACAGAGAGTTCTTGCTTATAAACTCAATTTAGACAAGAACATAAGAAACCTAATTGACCAAATTTCTCAACTGTTTGGATATATAACTGAAAGTCTGAAACTGTGTTTTTACAGTTTGTTGGAGGGTTTGATGCAGAAAGCATGGAAGCATTTGAAGAGCTTAGAAGCAGATCCAAAACTGAAAGTGGAGGTGACAATAATATTAATATATAACAATAAAGGAATCTGTAAACTGAGTTTTATTACTTTCTTTTTCTTCTATGTCTCTCTGTATCATTGTATCACATATTCACATATTTGATTTATAGTATAGTGAAATTTATAGAATGTTGTCAAAAATACATTCTTTTGTTTAGGTTTGCAAATGTTTTTTATAATTGCTATTTGTATACAAACAGTTTAGATGATAAATTCGCAATAAATTTGTAATCTCCCAAACTACTAAAATAATTGTGGTTTGTCTTAAAAGTCACTTGTTTTGAGACATATCATGTGCAGCCATGCAACGTACCTCATTGAATCTTCTTCACTCATTAATGTTTTACAGTATTTTTATAAATTTTATCATTTTAATTAAAATTATCACAATATTTTTGTGGTTAAAGATTTTCTTTTTCCATGTTTTAGTTAATTCATTAGATTTACAGCATATAACAACATGGACTAGTTCTATTTTGTAATTTTATGGAATCGTATAAAAGAACAAACAGGGTCCATTTCTTGGGTCTAGTACTTTTCAGTTTTCACGGTCAAACAAGATACATGTATATTTATTATTATTATTATTGTATTCGAATAACCTAAAACATTATCAGGGCATATGCAAGGGTGCATCTTTGAAGTTTGATCTTAAGGGAGAAAAAATATTAAAATATTGTAAGAGCTTTAATTAAGATCTTTTGTAAAGTAAGTGATTATTGGTAGAACATGTTTAGATCATAGGAATTGATTTGAAATTGAAATAATGTAAGATCATTAGTTTACAATTTTAAAAACTTTAAGAAATAACTTTTAAATTGCAAACTTAAAAAACTTATACTAAAATAGATTTGAAAATAAAAAGAAACACAAAATATAATATCAAATTTTTATGAAACAAAAAAGAACATTAAAGATATAAATAAAAAAACAAACAAACAAACATATTATTTAATTAAACCCTAGCATAGATTTCGGATCGAAGGAGAATGAAATGTTTTTTTCTTTTGCAAAAATTCGTAGCCAATGATGAAGCGCCACGTCACGCTAAAACTGGGCCAAGAACAGTTCTACAACAAGAACAGATCTACAACAGATCTAACACTATTCACAATATTTTCTATTTTTAAAAGGCTAAGAACACCTAAGTGTTCTCCCTTTAAATATGGCCTCATAATAATAATGTATATCATCCAACCCTCTTATCCCATGTTCTTACCATTAAAAAAATAATAAAATAAAAGAAAATGGTCTTAAAACACCCAAGAACTGTTCTTGTCCAAGAACTGTTTAGACATGTTTTTCTCTCCACCCAAGAACTGTTCTTCTATCTACATTATTTTAATACTTAATTAACCCTAAGAACACCCAAATAAGTTATTCCGATAAATATGGTCTAATAAATGAAATAATTTCACGGATCTAAGAGATGACAATCAGTCAAAAACACAACCATAGTCCACAGATAGATATCAGTCTATTTTTTTTCATTTTATCAGAATATCATCACACCTAAAAACTACAAAAATTATATGAACAAAAACATAAAACACTATACGGTTAGTTATTTGTGTTTGAAATTAAAAAAAAAAGGTTTAAAGTGAAGAACAAAGAAACAAAACAAAAACACAATTTAGACAGCTAGTTTTATAGCAAAAGCCAAAGCTTTATTTGATACCCCCAAAGTAGAAGGAAAACACTCAAACATGGATGTGAGATGAACATGCAAATCCCAAAACACACACACACATACACAAAGTGACGTCGTTTTCTATCATCTGCAATCACATGCTATCCTTTTCAGCACCTCTCTTTGCATCATAATCATGGCAGCACCAACATATCCCTTGACCACCACCAACGTTTAAGCATTCACCTCCATGATACTTGCTGTCCAATGCCTTGCATGGTTCATCGCAAGTAGAGCTCGTGGCCGCAGTACTACATAAACCCTTTCGGTAGTCACACTTTCCCCACCCATCCACTTCTGTCCGATCCATACAAAGAGACAACATTTCATAAACATGTATTTATTTTAGATCTTGGGATCAAAGATTTTGGTTTTTTAACGTACCTATAGGAGATATGAGGAGGATGGAGATACAAACGACTACTGCAATAGATCCAACTGTGCTCAACCTTAAGCTCCCCATTAACTGCTGATCTCTAATTAGTTCTTCGCTTATTTCTTTCTTATTTGTTTCTTTCTCTCTTTGTGGTTGACTTATTTAGCCGAAAGGCGAGGTTTTAATATATAGCAATAGTTAGTTGGGACTTGGGAGAGAGCTCAATCAAACATGTAACATTATTCTATTTTATATTTACACTTGCCTGTCGCTGGCAACTTCAACCCGCAACCAACTATTAGTGTCGATAAAATCTTACTATATGTTGTTCGTTTTACTATCGCTGCGACTGGTGGCTGCTAGACTTCATTAACATATATTTTCTTAATCAAATTTTCTAAATAGAAGTTAATCAAGTGAAATTATAAGAACATACATCAATTTGAAATTATAAGAACATACATCAAGAGTTAAAAAAAAAAAAAGAACATACATCAATTTGACATTTGAAGGCTATCAAAAATATCATTGAAGAAGAAAAAGTCAGCTTATCAAATTCTCAGGTTAGAGTCTCAAGTTAGGCTAATAAAAGAAAAAGAAAAAAAATACTAGCTGTTCACAAAAAAAAAAAAAAAAAAAAAAATACTAGCAAATATCCGAGAACCATCTAAACCGTCCACGTGTCTCCTCGCTTATTTCTCTGTCTTAACCAAACCGCCTTCTTTTCACAACCCTTAAAGAAAAAGTCCGATCTCATTCATTTCTCATTCCAAAATCCGCGGAGCAATCGAAACCCTAAAAACACGATGATGCTCAAGCAAGTTGCGAAGAAGGCTCTAGGGCTTACGTCACGTCAATCAACGCCGTGGTCTGTTGGTATTTTCCGATCCTACCATGAGAACGTCATCGACCACTACGATAACCCCCGCAACGTTGGGTCTTTCGATAAGAATGATCCCAACGTTGGTACGGGACTCGTCGGAGCTCCTGCTTGTGGTGATGTGATGAAGCTTCAAATCAAGGTCGATGAGAAGACTGGTCAAATCGTTGATGCTCGCTTTAAGACTTTTGGTTGTGGTTCCGCTATCGCTTCTTCATCTGTCGGTATGTTTTTACTCTAATTCGTTTTGTGTTGGATTGTTTCATGTTTTTGTTCGATTGAGGATTGAATTAGAGAAATTAGAGGATTTGAGGTACGATTTCAATTAGGGATTTTGATTAAGTTTTTTTCTCAAATTGAGGAATTAGGTTTCAGATTGGTCAGTTTTTGTGAAATGAGACGTTTTTATTGTAATACTCCTAATGTCATTGAGAAAGATTTTCTCTTTTTGATGCGATGTCATCAGTTTCTGGCTTAGCTTCTATGTGGGAGCTATCTTCTCTCTCTGTTATTTCTGATTTTACTTTGAAACTAACTGCTTAGTGTATTTCTGATCTTAGCGGGGGATGTGTTACTGTTATCTAATGTTTGATTGATTTTTGTTTTTATCAGCCACTGAATGGGTGAAAGGCAAAGCTATGGATGATGTCCTGACCATCAAAAACACGTAAGTACCGTACTGTTCCTATTCATGTTTTGCAGATATTAACATAATCTGTTGTGAATTGTTGCGTTACGCCATTCAGTGTTGTCTAATCTGCCATTGTTGACATACCAGTTACTGTATCTCATGACTGTTATATTGTTTTGAGGAATTCGATCACTGGACTAGTGGACTTTGTCTATTGGTATAATATTGGTCACTGGTTAGTATGCCCTGTGTTCTTATTCATGTTTTGTAGTGATTCGTTGCATTATGCACACTCTTGTTATCTAATTCGTTCACTCATAGATTGTTGACATACCAGTTGCTACATCATGACTGTTATTTTGTCATGACTGTTATTTTGTTTAGAGGAACTCAGTTACTGGACTTGGTCTATTTGTATGACATTGGTAACTGGTTAGTATGGTACATAAATTGCTACATCATGACTATGTGCAGACCCGCTTGACTTCTTTATCTCAGACGAAGTATATACTTTGTGATTTGTATCATGTGAGTTTCTCAATATCTGAAGACCTGCTCTGAATGCGTGCTTTTCTTTCTGTGATTTATTTTGCCAGTGAAATCGCAAAGCATCTTTCTCTCCCACCAGTCAAGCTCCACTGCAGTATGTTGGCGGAGGACGCTATCAAGGCAGCTGTGAAAGACTACAAGGAGAAGCGTGTGAAGACAAATGGTGCTGCTGCAGCAGCAGGAGAAACCACACAGGCTTGATTCCTTTTACTAGTGTGTATACCATAATGTGTATATGATGGTGAAAACAGGGGAGAAGTAGAAGAGGATGATACATACAACCTATGGTATGTTGTAATGTTCAAGACTTAAGGAGTATTTTCGAATAAACTCTGTTCACAAAAACATGTAAGAATGATTTTGCTTTGGCCCTGTAGTTTTTGCTGTTTTATGCACCGATGTGATGTAATGTTTTCTCTCTTCTTTGGGAGGTTTATAAATTACAACTTTGACAGACAAATCTACAATTTTCAATTTTCAATTTTCAATTTTGACATTATAATTTTCTCTGCATGGAACATTCTTCAAAGTCGCGTTTCTATGTGGGTGAGCTTGACTTATCATCTCTCTGTTCCTGAATTGTCACAAAACATCCAACCTTTATTCGAAACGTTATCTCTGTTATTGGATTAAGCAGAGTACAACAAACAAAAGCAAAGCAGAGTAGAACAAAGCGATGTCGATTATATGGTTTCGGAATCACATGTTTTCTTATTGAGCACCGATACTATCATAATAGCAGCAGAAACAAGCCGCCCACACGCTCGGCCTATCCCTCGGACGGCACTTGCCATCAAAAAAAGTCTGACCAGCCCTCGTTTTGAACTTGATGCAACTCTCCTTGCAATCACGGAAAGGAGTACAAGCACCTAATGGGAAGTCACAGCTTCCTTCCACTTCTGTCGATACAAACAAGCACACACATTTATAACAAAAACATGCGTATCTATGTAATTAGAGATCTTGATTTTACGTACCGGTGGGAGATAGGAGGAGGATAGATAGACAAACGACTATTGTAGCAACAACAACTGTTCTCAACCTCAAGCTCCTCATTGCTGATCTCTCTTTGTGATTTTATCAGCAAAAGGCTTTCAATTTATACGGCTCAATCAAACACATTTTCTCTTCACTACTTCTACATTATTACAAGATCTAGCTAAGAGTCTCCACGATGTGATCCACCTCGCCTATAATTATATATTTCCAGACACAAATCAAACATTATCTATCTCGTCTACAATACTTTAAACGTGAAATATGCTCACTATATGTCCATAACAAGTTAACAACATTAAATATAACATATGTCACGAGAAGTACAGGCATGCTCAATATTTTAAAGATAAAATGTGTTGTTTACTAGAGTTTGAATTCCTATATGGGATTCAACATCTAATTATGTCACTCTTCTGAAATTTCGATTCTTCGGGATAATCCAGATAATGAAACTTTATTTACATCAAAACCGGATTTTTACAATATTGAAAACAGATTTTGTATTTTTTTCAAGAAAATAAGTGACCAGGCAGCATTTACCGCTATTAGTGAAAGAAACTAAAATCACATAACTCTTAAAGTCTAAACAAATTCAAAACTCAAAAAACAGATATATGTATTCGCACAACAAACCGCAATTATGATTATTATTATTGATAAAAACAAAACAATCTTAACTAAAATAAATTAGCTAAATACAACAAGAATTTTTTTTTTAAAAACATTTGTTAAAAACACACTCCAACTTTATTTGATACTTGACAACGCAAAACAAACAGAAGCACAACAGAGTACAAGGCAAAAAAAACATATGATGTGATGAAATGAAAGCATAAACATGCAAATAGCAAAACACACACACCCACACAAAGCGACGTCGTTTTCTAGCATCTGCAATCACATGCTTTCCATTTCAGCACTGCTCCCTACATAATGGCAGCAATAACATATACTTAAACCAGGAAAACTAGAATCTGCGCATTCGCCTCCACTATAATTGCTGCCCCATGTATTGCATTGGTCATTGCAAGTAGAGCTCGAGGTACATGTACCCGCTGGGGTGTCACACACTAAACGCCCATCTACTTCTGTCCAATCCATAGAAAGATGCAACATATCATTAACATGTATTTATTCTAATCTTCTTTTAACTAAATTTACGTACCTGTAGGAGATATGAGGAGGATGGAGAGACAAACCACTACTGCAATAACAACAACTGTGCTCACCCTTGAGCTTCCCATTGCTGATCAGTTCGTCTTTCTTTCTCGCTTTGTGATTTATTTAGGGAAGTTGTCTGAATTTATAGCACTTCAAGGAAAGGACATCTAGATGTTATTTGTTTCTCTTTGTATTGAATTTTGTAAGAAAAAACCACTCCGCAATTTTATATTGGAATAATGGAATGGGTACATAGATCAAATAACTTTATGTCAAATTGTCATATCTTTACAATAAAATGATTATCCAAGTTTACCTTTTTTAATTATTTAAAACTTTCCACGCGTAAGAGAATAATAATAGTTAAAATATTTCCACTAATCCAGGCATCCAGCTCATCTGCCTATTATTTATTTATTTTCTATTTGGTCTATAGTATTGAAATATACTCACTAATTGTATGTCGATAGCATCAATAAAATACAATTTTATTATATAATATACGTAACGAGACCTGCATTTGATCTAAAATAATGAAATATACTCACCAATCACATGTCGGTAGCATCAATAAAATATATTTTTATTATATAATATATGTAACGAGACCCTCATGTTAAATATTTCAATAATACATTTGTTTACCAAAAGTAAAAATACTATATGGGATTCAAGAAAATACTACATAAACCAATATTTTAAAACCTTATCCGAGCGGTAAATTGGACTATCTTCTAAATTACTAGATCATTGGGTCAACTGAATTCAACCTTCCTCGTCACTCCCTTCATCTTGACAGGGCTTATTACTCGTGTGGGGTATACTACCTTTTGGGTCTCTACTAGTTGGGCTTCTAACCATCTTTTGTGAATTTGTGGGTTTTATTTCTAGAGTGGGCATTTGCAAGACTTTGGTTAGCTTACTAGTAACCTTTTTAACCTTTTTTTTTGTGTTCAACAAGTAACCTTTTTAACTAATATGCATCAAACTTTATGAAAACAAAAACATGTACATTAGTGTTTAACACAAAGAAAAAGAGAAAAAAAAACTCAAATGTACCTGGGAATTTTGGGTCAAGATGTACTACATATAAAGCTGGTTTAGACCAGCTCAACACTTTGACCATAATAAAAGAAATTAGCGTTAAGATCAAACGTCTCTTCATTAATGAATGAACGTAGACACACAAAGTATACAACTATGGGTGAGGCTAATTAAGTACATCCGATACCTCCTTATAAACAACGAAGCATATCTTTATCTCCAATTAGTCAAGTTGGATTGCAGTATGTTAAGGTACTAAACCATGATGGGGAAAAGAAATGAAGTAGCAACTAGCAAAATATCAAAACTAAAGGTTTAAAATATGGCATAGTCCGAGATTTGAAATTGTCTTTCGATGTATTTTTAAAAATATGGCATAGTCCGAGATTTGACTCTAATTTTGTTTTGAGGAACTCAGCCACTGGAATTTGTCTAGGTTACTGGTTAGTATGCCATGGGTTCGGTGTTCTCATTCATGCATGTTTTGAAGTGATTCGTTGCATTATGCTCATTCGTGTTATCTAATTCGTTCACTCATTGATTGTTAAAAATTAAATTAAAAACCCCCAAGACAAATCTATTCACTCATATCTTAACGGACTTTTAACGTTTGATTGTTAACGGAAACACCACAACTTTATTGGAGACTTGACAACGCAAAACAAACAGAAGCACAACAACAAAGTACGAAGGCAAAAACTCAAAACATAGGATGTGAAATAAAAGCATAAACATGCAAATAGCAAAAACACACACACTACAAATTACAAAGCGACGTCGTTTTCTATCATCTGCAATCACATGCTTTCCGTTTCAGCACCGCTCCCTACATTATGGCAACAATAACAGACACTTAAACCAGGAAAACGAGCATCTGAGCATTCGCCTCCGGTAAAATTGCGGCCCAATGAATTGCATTGTTCATTGCAAGAGAGCAACATACTACATAAACCCGCTGCGCTGTCACACACTCTACGCCTATCTACTTGTGTCCATTAATCCATACAAAGATGCAACATTTCATTAACATGTATTTATTCTAAATCTTCTTTTAACTAAATTTACGTACCTGTAGGAGATATGAGGAGGATGGAGAAACAAACCACTACTGCAATAACAACAACTGTGCTCACTCTTAAGCTCCCCATTGCTGATCTCTCAGTTCTTCTTTCTTTTTCGCTTTGTGATTATTTAGCGAAGGAGTCTGAATTTTATAGCACTCTGAAGGGAAAAGGAGAAGCTCAAACATGTAACTTTATTTTATTTTATGTTATTTATATTTAATTTTATAAGAAAATACCACTATGCAATTTTATACTGGAATGAGTAAATAGATCAAATAACTTTCAGTCAACATCTTTACAATAAAATGATTATCCAAGTTTAAAACTTTCCATACGTTATAAAATAAAATTAATTTAAAAGATTTCCACTGATAATAATAATTATTTGGTATAAAATATTGAAATATACTCACCAATCACATATGTCGATAGCATCAATAAAATAGAATTTTATTATATAGTATACGTAACGAGACCCGCATTAAGTCTAAAATATTGAAATATATTCTCACTATTCACATATGTCAACAATAACGTTAAAATATATATAATATGTAACGAGATCCGCATTAGATCTAAAATATTGAAATATACTCACTAATCAGTAATCATATATGTCAATACTTGAGGCTATTGAGACCCTTTATGGTCTTCTTCTTGACAGGGCTTATTACTCGAGTGGGCTTACTACCTTTTGGTCTCTACTAGTTGGGCTTCTAACCATATTGGGGTTCACTAGTATTCCTTGTGAATTTGTGGGGGTTATTTTTTTTAATTTCTAGAGTGGGCATTTGTAAAAATGTTGGTTAGCATTACTACCTCTCCCTTTAAACTAATACATCAAACTTTATGAAAACAAAAACATGTACATTAGTGTTTAACACAGAAAAAAAGAAGAAACAGATGCATTCAAGTGGAAATGGGGGTAATAGCAAGGTTTCCATCTCTCAAAATATATGTTGGGGCAAAATGTTCTGGAACGAAGTCCATAATAATATCTTTGAAGCAGAGGACTAGAACATATTCTCCTTTTTTTTTTTAGTTGCCGGTGCTTGAATTAGGGACTTTCGAAAACCCGACGAAGAACGATGATGTATACTTTTACCATAAACCATCAATCAATTCAAGGATTTAATTACGTTAGATTTTGTGTATGTTGAGAGGTCGTCATAGAGATTCACGAGATATAAATAATCTAAAAAGGAAACTTTTGTCAAAAATCAAAATACTACATATAAAGTTGGCTTAGATCATCGGCTCATGGTTTAATTAGATCAATACTCTTGTACCATAATAGAATAAAGCGTTAAAATCATTAATGAAGGGATATTTGATTTTAACACTTTATTTCTGAGTATCTTTAATTCGCCCATGTTTCTCCAATGGATGTTGGTCTTATTACTTAAAACAATTATTTAGACAGATGTGGTACGCTTGGTTCTGACCAATTTTTGCTCACAGACTGAAGGACTTTGAGTTAATCTCCATTGAGACTTACTCTGCGTTGTAATATTTATTGAACTTGGCAGGTTAATGAATCTTAAAATGTAGAAGAGGCACTTAGGAAACAACATGGTGAAAGAGCAAAGTAGGAAGTGTGATACTTTGTGGGATCTTAAAAACAATACTCCTATGACAGAGGACAAACAGGTCGGTCAGTTATGTCTTTCTTCTTTCCCCTGTCTTTTTTTTTAAAAGCTAACCATTTGATTGCCTGAAAAGCAAAATCAAGAATATATGATCAATCTAGATGAATACTATACCGACGATGACTACACGTATAAGGAAATATATCAGCTTTCTTTTCGCCTAAAAAATGGTCCCGGTTTAGAATCTAATTCTAATTTCTTTATATATCTCTCATTTCTTCTGCTTCAATTCCCGCTAGTCAAATGTTAAATAAGTGTGCACACAACATTTTCTTGAACCATTAGAATGTTCTCTTAATTAATCTCCTTCTGAGTAGATTCTCAATAGAGTTTAAAGTTGTAAATGAAGAGATACATTGGGACCCTCAAGGCCTTCTAATTGCCACGTTTGGCACATAATTCTCTTACTCAACCTTACCTTTTAAGGGGCCACATCTTTCACACTTCATTACCTTATCACCAAAACATAAATCACTCAACTTTTTTTGCCTTACTGATTTGTTGGATCCCTCCAAAATTAAAACTTGTGTTCCCCACACAAGATTTTTACACAAAAATCTAAAAATCCACATTTATGAGCTTTTTGAGAAACCAAAACCTAATATCTAAAACTAAAAATATATAATCCAAAAAAACTTAAAACGCTCAAAGCTTTCATTTTTTACCTATGCGCGAGATAACACTTGGTTCATTAATTAGATACAAAAACTTGCACGTTTCATTACTTGGTAGTTGGTGGTACACAAAATAGAAGCAAAACACTCAAATACTATGGGAAAAAATCCAACTTTATTTGAAACTTGATCAACGAGGAAAAAGAAGTAGAAACAGAAGCAAAACACTCAAATATAGATGTCAGATTATATCACCAACAATGCAGCACTCACAAACACACACACACACACACACACACACACAAAGTGTGACTTTTGAAATCACATATGCTTTCTATTTCAGGAATCAAGACGACGCCCGCTTTATTTCCCGAATGCAGCAGTTGCAATCCCCATGGAAATCGGGATACATGGGATTAATGGGTGAAACTTTAGGCGTGCAAAAACCAGCATAATAATAGTATCTTGCTCCCGGCCTGTTACGGCTTTGACATTTCTCATCGCAATTTTTCTCGAAATCAACCCACCAAAGAGGAAGAAGCCAGAACAGACAAAGATCGATTTGCATATTTTCACATACTTCCAGTTTCCCCTCCACTGCTTCTATTTCAGGAGGAGGGCTGACCTTTTCCCGAACGCAGCAGTTGCAAGTCGCCGTGAAAGACATTCCCCCAGGTGGACCATTAGGCGTGCAAAAACCACCATAATATTCGGCCGTTTCTGACTTAAACCTCTGACATCTCTCCTTGCACTGTTCCTCTGATCTCGGATTGAATAACCAAAACGGACAAAAACCGTATGGGACATTCTCACATTCTTCTTTCAGTTTCCCCTCCACTGCTTCTGTCCAATCCATACAAAGAGACAAACGTTTTCATAAACATGTATTCATTATAGCTCTTTGATCAAAGATTTTTGGTTTTTTTTTACGTACCTGTAGGAGATATGAGGAGGATGGAGAGACAAACGACTAGTGCAGTAACAACAACTGTGCTCAACTTTAAGCTCCCCATGACTGATCTCTCAGTTCTTCTTTTGTTGTTTCTTTCTTTTTTGTGATTTAACTAGCAAAAAAGTCTTAATTTATAGCACTCCAAGCGAAGGAGAGAATTAGCTCGAAGACGTAATTAACTTTATTTTATTTTACATTTACTATCCACTACTCCATATTTTTCATATCTAGATGTTCTTTGTTTATCTATTCATTTGATGCTCTCCTTACATCACTATATAATTTTTAAGCAAAAGAGATCATGTAACTTGATGTCAAATATCTTTATAATAATTAACAAATTTATTTTAAAATTTAACATTAATCGTGTTAGAAAGTAATGATAACTAAAAATCTCCACCGGCCAGTTCACCTATTATTATATGTTCTAGAATACTACAACCATTAAACATTAGTTTACAGTTGGTTATTAATTTGTGTATATGGTTGAAAATTGCTAAATAAGCTCATCATATTTCCATAGCATAAATAAATATAACTTTATTATCTAAAATATATGTAACGAGACCCGCATGTTATAGATTTTAATAATATATGTGTTAACTCAAAGTGAAAATAGACCACACATTTGTGGTCTTCTAATGGTAAAGAAGAAGAATTAAGGAAAGGCCGGAAAGAAGTACTGATGAGGACATCGAGACTATCCAAACTAACTCCGAGGAAGGATCCAGCAACATAACAACCATGGTTCAAGCACCAAGGACAAGATCAGGAACCAAACGTTTAAGGGAACAATTCAACAAGTCCATTGAAAGCTTGATTACACTCATAGAGCAAGAGGAACTCGAAGGAAGGTCATTCACTAAGGATATTATCCGAGAGGCACCCATTGAGCCTCAAATCAATCCAAACGTTTCAAAAGGTCAAGACTTGGAGAATGAACAAGACAACAACTATTTTGAGCAAGGAACATTCCAGGAAACCGAGATCATCAAAGATAAAGCTTGCGTGCAACTCAAGAATCAAACAGCTTCATTTCTACCGGTTTTACAAGGAATAAAGGAACCCGCTCTCTTCATCATTTCCAAAATCATTCAATGAAGGGCTGGAACGTGCATGAGCAATACTTCCGAGGTAAGTGTTTGAATTCAAATAATAAATCGTTCTTTTCTTGTTTTGCAGGAATAAGACCGTTGGGTTTTATTGAGTCTTTTATTTGTCTTAGGTCCTAATTTCGAGTCTGTTGTTTTGCGAGTTTAGTCCTTTTTATTTGCAAGTTTAGTCCTTTTATTATGTAATAATTTCGACCCTAGAAGGTCCCCAGCTGCTGGACTATTATATAAAGTCCCTTCTCAGCTATGTATCTTTAACAAGTTTTATGAAATAAAATGAGAGTTTTCTTAGGTTAACTTCTGAGATAGAAGCAACCACGTTCTCCTTCTTCTTGTGTGAGAATCCTTGAAGATTGAGTCCAGACTCATCATAGATCCTTCCACAGATCTGTGTGGCGTCACTCACTCCACCCATCTACTCATCTCCATTTCTATTGAATCAGTTGAGAGTGACTTCAGTCCAGCAACTGACTCTTCATCTTCCCGCTTCGATTCCATCCTCCATTCACTAGGATCTGTTGAGAGTGACTTCAGTCCAGCAACAGCTTCACCATCTTTCACCCTTTATTCTAACCCGAGTAAGTCTGACGAGTCTGCCTGCATCATCCGACAAGTTTGCCTGTAACATCTTGTCAAATCTGCCGGTGTCATCTGACAAGTCTGCCTGTATCACAAGTCTGCCTGCATCATCTGGTATCAGAGCTTAAACGCTCCAAATCAGGTTTTGTCTTTTCGTTTTTGTTCCAGTTCGTTTCGACTTCTTTCCTTTGTTAGATCTGTTCGTTTCTGTTCTATTGTTATTATTCACATTCTAAAAAGGAAACCCCATAAAAATCTCGCTTAGATCTGATCATTTGATTGTTTAAAACCGTTCATATTCTAGATCTGTCTGTTTTGAGATTTAGACCGTTCAACTTCCCGCGCACTTGATCTATTTGTTCTTTGAGACAGAAAACGTTTTGAATCATGGAAGGACAAGGAGGAGATGTGAACGTGGCTCAGTTACTTGCAAACATCCAAACTCAACTCCAGAATCTTGGTGATCGCATGAATCGGATTGAACAGCCCGCACCTGCACCTAGAGCACATGTTGCTGCTGTACCAAGAGACAACCAAGAGTATGATAATGAAGATCCGTTTGATTCTGAAGAGGAGCAACGTGATCTTAACCACAACTTGAGGCCAAGGAGACAGTACCAAAGAAGAAGAGGAAGAGATGAAGGCAACCGGAGAGAAGGAGGCCATGATCTCAAACTCAAGGCTCCAACTTTTGCTGGAAAGGTTAATCCTGATGCATACCTTGATTGGGAGAGACGTATGGAGTATATCTTTGGCTACTACAACTATTCAGATCAAAGGAAGATAGCCCTAGCTGCTGCTCAACTCACTGATAATGCCTTAACTTGGTGGGATAGAGATGTATCCGAGAGGAGGAGGCACAGACATGTACCAATCACTACTTGGGAAGACATGAGGTTTCAGCTAAGGAAAAGATATGTCCCGGTCTACTACCACCGTGAGCTGCAGAAGAAGTTCAGAAAGCTCACTCAAGGAACCAAATCTGTTGAAGAATACTATGAGGAGTTTGAATCACTTAAGAACAGATTGGAAGTAGAAGAATCCGATGAGAACCTGATGGCACAGTTTCTGGATGGACTTCATGATCGGATTGCTAGGAAGGTAGAAAGACAGACCTATCATGATATGGATGAGTTGCTACACATAGCAGTTCAGGCTGAGCAACACATCAAGAGAAAGACTGCTTCAAGCAACCGCAGCAAGGCCCCATGGACACCACAGCCTCAAAAAGCTCTAGAAAAAGGAAAACCTAACGATGTGGATCCAAAATTCAAAAAGACTATGCCGGAAACATCAAAAGGAGTCAGACCTGAGCAAGGTAAACCTAATAATCAAAGGGCTCGTGATATTACTTGTTTTAAATGTCAGGGAAAAGGACACTATGCAAGGGAGTGCCCAAACCAACGAGTAATGATCCTCAAAGCCAACGGAGAATATGAATCACAAGATGAGGAAGACGAGAAGGAAGAATCTGAGGAAGACGTTGTGGATTATCCAGAAACAGGAGAAATTCTAGTTATTAGAAGGACTCTTAGCGCTCTATTTGATCCAGAGACGATTCAAAGAGAAAATATTTTCCATTCTCGCTGCTCCATAAACTCCAAGGTATGTAGTCTAATCATTGATGGTGGTTCATGTACTAACGTGGCTAGCAAGTATTTGGTTGATAAGCTAGGTCTCCCCAAGACAAAGCACCCCCACCCATATCGGCTTAAATGGCTCAATGATGAAACTGAACTAAGGATCTCTGAGCAAGTTACCATACCATTCACCATCGGCAAATATTCAGATCAAGTTGTATGTGATGTGGTTCCTATGCAAGCTGGTCACCTTCTTCTAGGACGACCATGGCAGTTCGATAAGGAGACTCTACACAATGGCCGAACCAACTACTACTCTTTCACTCACAACAACAAGAAACACTCTCTAGCTCCACTCACTCCTCAAGAAGTACATGAGATGCAACTGGCCATGTCAAAGGGAGCTAAGTCAAAGAAAACCAACCTTTACATAACACCTTCTACTGTTTTGAGATCAGTTAATTCACGAGACAAGGTGCTACTAATGGTCTTTAAGGAAGGTTTGTTTTCAGGTCAAGAAGAGAAAGATCTACCACCAGAAATACTTGAGCTACTAGAAAGGTTTAAGGAGGTCTTTCCCGAAGAGATACCACCTGGTCTACCACCAATAAGGGGAATTGAGCATCAGATTGATCTAGTTCCAGGAGCACCATTGCCTAATAGACCAGCCTATAGAGTTAATCCTGAAGAGGCAAAAGAGTTAGAAAAGCAAGTTCAGGATCTTATGTCAAAGGGATACATCCGCGAAAGTCTAAGTCCTTGTGCTGTCCCTGTTCTTCTAGTACCTAAGAAAGATGGAACTTGGAGAATGTGTGTGGACTGTCGTGCAATCAACAACATCACCGTCAAATATAGGCATCCCATTCCCAGACTTGATGACATGCTAGATGAGCTCAATGGAGCTACCATCTTCTCCAAAATTGATCTAAGAAGTGGATACCATCAGGTGAGAATGAAAGAAGGTGATGAATGGAAGACTGCTTTCAAGACTAAGCAAGGACTGTATGAGTGGTTAGTCATGCCATTTGGACTCACCAACGCCCCGAGCACCTTCATGAGGTTAATGAACCAAATTCTAAGGGAGTACATCTGTAAGTTTGTGGTTGTTTACTTTGATGATATCTTGATTTACAGCACATGTCTTGCAGATCATCTAAAGCATCTTGAAATGGTGATAAAAACACTTAAGACTGAGAACCTATATGCTAACTTTAAGAAATGCACATTTTGCACTGATCAAGTTGTGTTTCTAGGATTTGTTGTAAGCTCGCAGGGTTTGAAGGTTGATGAGGAAAAGATCAAGGCTATACAAGACTGGCCAACACCAACAACCATTGGGCATGTTAGGAGCTTCCACGGTCTAGCTAGCTTCTATAGAAGATTTGTGAAAGATTTCAGTACCATAGCTGCACCATTGACCTCGGTGATTAAGAAGAATGTGGAATTCAGATGGGGTCAAGCACAGGAGGATGCATTCAAATTACTCAAAGACAGCCTCACACATGCTCCTGTTTTGGTACTTCCTAACTTTGATAAAATGTTTGAGATTGAATGTGATGCTTCTGGTACAGGTTTAGGAGCTGTCTTAACTCAAGGAGGAAAACCAGTAGCATACTTCAGTGAGAAGCTTAATGGAGCTGCACTTAATTACCCTACCTATGATAAGGAGCTCTATGCTTTGGTAAGATCTCTTGAAACTTGGCAACATTATTTGCTGTCAAAAGAGTTTGTTATTCATACAGATCACGAGACGCTCAAGCACCTAAGAGGACAGACTACTCTCAAGAAGAGGCACGCAAGGTGGCTTGAATTTATAGAAACTTTTCCGTATGTGATCA